CTTTCAGTCTCATTCATAATCACTCGGTTTTTCTGTGGAGAAGACAGGATGGCAGGGGAGTCTCTCACTGAGGCTGCCACTGACTTGGTCCAAGTGAATCAGTTGAGGAGGCAGGGCCTGTGGTCTGTCAGCAGCTCTCCCTGGCACGCTGACCATCAGAGACTCAGGTAGTAGACCCAGTTGTATGTTGGCTGCTTTATGGGTAGCTGCTTGAGTTTCAAGAACCTTTTGGACTGTGACTTTCTACTTGTCTCCCTCTCTTCTGGCCTCCTGGTTATTTCCCTGGTATATATATGACTTCCCTACTAAATCCACAGCTTCACTGCTTCTTGGTTAAGTTCATATTACCCTCACAGAACGATATACCAAGTAGAAGCCTGTACTAGTTCATCAACTTGTGTAAGTCTAAGAAAGTATCCTTTCTCCCCAGTCCCAGATGCCCATGTTCCTGATATCCGTTAATCAAACATTCTGCAGGGGGTTGGGGGAGGGGACAGGACTCTTTGGGGATCTCTGTGCAGGACAAAGTTCTCTGATGCCCAGTGCCTCTTTTATCATTTATATAGTATTCAGGATACAGTTCATGACCCCACGCCTCCTTGCCAATGTCTGAATGTTAATTTGAGTTGGGTACATGTGCTGTCCCTCAGGAACCCTTGTTCCTAATTGAAGAATTTTTACATTCTCTATCTCCATTTAAACATCTTGTTTGCCAAGACATGTTCCTAACACATAAAGTTATTGGGTGTGAAATGAAATGAGCTCTGTTTTATCACAGAAGAAAGTAAGGGCCTAGCATCTAAATTTCAATTCCTCCCAACCATGTTCCAAAGTCTAGGGTGAAAACAAACTGATTAACTAATTACCAAGCAACCATTTCAGCAAGAGAACTGACTGTAAGAACTTTTAAGGATTTCTTCACTTTTGTAACTAAAATTAAACTGCTATATCTTTGGCAGTCCTTGGATTTGATGTCTCTTTCCTTGGAGTATTTAGCGGTAACAATATAAGATGGACAAATGGATTAATAACAAAAGCCCTGTTCACCCAATTCTTGCCCTGTTATCCTCCTGTGCCCTATTCTTTTGTTCTAAGATGGATGAAAATAGGACTCTACATCGTTTATCTTACACAAAAATAATTTTATATTCAGTAAAGTTAAATTTTACAATATAAACCTTCAAAATAGAGAGTTACGACGACAAGTAAAAAGAAATGGAGAAAATGTGCTATGTAATTTAGAAAGGAATGGTAAGTTATCACAAGATGTCAGCTTCCAGCATGAGAAGAGATGACCTCATTAACTACTTTCAGTTAATATTTAATTCCTAATACAGATGATAAATGTTATTATTAACATCTAGCTAGAAAATTCTGTCACATCACAGACACATTAAAAACCCTATAGCAAAAAGGCAAATGATTTCTAGCTGAATTTCCTCTTGTATTTCATGTAAAGAGCAAAACCTCTTAACATGATATGATTTGGAAATTACCACTAGATTTTAGGGTGTTTTCCCTGTGTCTTAATAAAAAGAGGGCAAATAAGGCAAATAATTTTGTGGGATGAAGAATGAAAGAACACCTCTACCTTTAAAACAAAAGTATAATTAAAATTAAATACCCAAGTTCTCAAGTTGAAACCCATTTTCTCCAGTGACCACCCACATGTACACACACGCACATACAGCATCTGAGTTCAATGATTTGACTACTTTGACCGACAGAGGCGTCCCTGGGTGGAACAAATGGTTAACTCACCTGGCTGCTAACTGAAAGGCTGGAAGTTTGAGTTCACTCAGATGCCTCAGACGAAGGGCCTGGTGATCACTGAAAACCCCAAGTACAGCTCCACTGTCACACGCGTGGGGGTCCCATGAGTTGTAATCAACTTGACAGCAACTGGATTTGTTCTTTTAAACCAACAATTTACCTACTATTCCTTCAATTGTTTCTTTCTCAAATTAATACAAACACCACAAACTCTTTAAGAAAGTGATTCTTCCCACCTACCTATAACAAGCAGACTTAAAACTATCATAAAGTCTATAGGTATTTGAGTGATAGTGGCTTTATTAAGCAGAGGCTTAGCAAACTGTGTAGAAAAAGTAGAGACAAGAAGCTGCTGCCTTCCAAGGACGTTTTTACAGTGCGAACTCTCCCAGGTATAGGTGTTGGGACACAAGTAATGAGAGCAGGAAGATTCCGTTTCCTTTCCAGTTATATATTTTATTAGCAAACCTGACAGGTTCTTAAGGCAGAATGTACTACCTGCCTACGAAAACACAAAGCTCAGCTTAGACCAAACTGGGCTGAGTCCTTTGGGGGCCAGTGGTTTCCTTCCAGGCCTGTCCAGGGGAGGAGCCACTTTCGAGCTGTGACAGTTGGGGAAGTCTCCAGGATATTCACAGCTTCCAGCACGGTGCTCACTGGGACATGTCTGGGTACAGCACTCAGTTGGGGCCAGATGAATTCAGCCTGAAGAGACTAAAATACGGGCAATGGCTGCTCAGAGAAAAAGGAAGCAGCATTTTGGATACTCTTTTACATCGTGCCTACAATTTGTCAGGAAGAGAAGGGGAAAAAAGTCATCCTAAGACTTTAGAAGACACCCAAATAACAAATTTGAGAAGTTAATGGTAGATTAGATGTGATAGAAAGTTCCTCTGAAGAAAAAGAGTAAGTTGTTATCCTCCTTACCCTGTGGAAGGAGCTCTGATGGTAAGGCATTTGCCTGCTAACCAAAAGATGGTCAGTTCAAACCCACCAGCTGCTCTGAGAGAGAAAGATGAGGCAGTCCGCTTCCGTAAAGACATACAGCTTTGGAAACTCCATGAGGCAGTTCTACTGTGGCCTAAATGGTCACGATGGGTCAAAATCAACTCAGTGGCAATGGGTTTGGTTTTTTTGTTTTTCCCCTGTGGCATACTGAGCCGCTTCCCTAAGACAGGTTCACTGCAGGTGCTCAACTGTTCTAGGAACAAATGCAGGCTCTTCATGTCTGCAAGCAGTGATTCCAAGGCCCTCAATCAACACTCAGCTAAGTTTTCTAGTCAGTTAATATGAAAACAGTTTTTTCTTTTTTCCTCTGCTGCCTGACTCCTGCATTTTGTCTTGCTGGAAAGTATTCAGTTCTCCTTAGAAGGCATCCATTGGTAATAGCTCTCAGTCACTTAAGATTCTTCCCATCGTAGAGGAAATGCTGGAAAAGACATTAATCTGTGTACCTTAACTCAAAAAAATATCTTGATTTACAAATTCTCCAAGAGAAAATGGCAGCAACATAGTGAGGTAATTCTTCAAAGATCACTTACATTTTTATCACAGATTCCTGTCACACAGATATGAGCATACTAACCTAATGTCACCTGGAAGATACACTGAGCAAAGTGGAGGAGTTAGAAACTACATGAGCTCCATGGGACTCAATTCTGATCGAAGATGATGTGTTGTGAGGAAACTAAAGACCTCAACCTGTGGTCCTCCTCCTCCCTGAATCTGCCTGTTAGCTCCTTTCTTTACCGACAGATACCCAGCAAAAAGCACTTGCAGAAAAAATTGTTATGGAACCCCCTGTGCACAGCAGAAAACTAGCACAACACCCAGACTTGTTTTTCATCCAAACAGCTGCTCCCTGGGCCAGATGAAGCGCAGAGGACAAGATAAAAGCAGCCCTGGGGAAGCCATCCTCGAGCCTGGGGAGAAACATTACAGAGAGAAAGGGCAGCTTGTATGAGGAAAAAAGTGGAGTATCTCAGATACTAATCCAACAGTCACCAGTTTCTATGATAGTAACTCTCTCAGAAAAAAATCATCCCAAAACAGGGAGCCTGAGAACCAGGGAAATAAGTGATCATGCTGGTGGGTGCTCAGGAAGCAGAAGATGGGGTGAAAACACGAGGGCAGCAGGGAAAGCAAATGAAGCTGTCGGTAAGCATGGAAAGAATAAACCAAAGAGATAATCCCATTAGATTTGAGAAGCAAACCAATACTCCTTTAACCAATATGATAAAAATGAACCACCACCATTTCAAGGAATTAAGGACAAGAAAAGGAGGGCGCAGATCCCTGCCTCTTATTGTGGAAACCGGTGCTCCAGGCCCAGGCTGCGTCCTGTGAGTTGCAGCAGGCAGTCTGCAATGGTTTAGCCACAGAAGTTTCTTGTCATTACAGCTGATCTATTGAAGGTGCAGAAAGGAATTACTCAGGGCAACTGAAACAGATTCCACAATACTTGATTCAGGTGTTCACTGAGGAGAAAGATGGCTGGAGTTGGTCCCTTGTCTGCTGCTGGCACGTGGTTTCTGTGTGCTTTATTACAAATCAAACAACCTTGCTTCACAGTACCACCTGTTATCTTACAAACAGAAGACTAGTCCTGAAGTAATAGGATATCTCTAGGAATTGAGCTTTTCCTAAAAACAAACAAAACTATTGTTGTTGTTGTTTATGTGCCGTCAAAGCAGCCCCAACTCATAGCGACCCCTCCTTGGGTTTCCGAGGCAGTATCACTACGGAAATAGATTGCCCAACCTTCCTTCCGAGGAGTGGCTGGTGGGTTTGAACCGCCAGCCTTCTGGTTAGCAGTCAAGTGCATTAGGCACTATACTACCAGAGCTCCTAAACAAAACTATACTACGAGTGAATCCTGTATCTAAATCTATACAGCATCTTTAAGCAGTATGGAAATGAAATTATGATTTATTAATTTACATAAAAATTCCTTTATACATTAAAGAATACAATTTCAAATTGTAAAAAAAAAGTTTGAAGCCATTGTTATTGGGATTCATGAGACATGGTTTGCTCTTCAATCACTTGCTTCACAATTTCTGCCAGTTTTAGTCGATCCACTTTATCTGTGAATCCACGACCTGAAACCCAAGAAAGAAAAAGGTCAGTCCCCAAACTCTCTCTCTGGAGATGATAGACTCTTGATAAGGGTACACCTTAGCAGTGTCAAACTACCCTTACTAATGTAGGAACCATCTACAATACTGATGGGAAAGAAAAAAAACACTCAATTCAGATTCCTCCGTATTTCAGGCAGCAATTGGGCAGTTCTACCACTCCTCGGAAGGAAGATTGGGCAATTTACTTCCGTAGTGATACTGACTCGGAAACCCAAGGAGGGGTCGCTATGAGTCGGGTCTGACTCGACAGCACATGACAACACCACCACCAACAACAACCTGGCAGTAAACATTTAAAGTTCATTACAGCAACACACAAGCAAACCATAAAGAGAGAGATCTTTGTAATCTGTGTATCTGAGGAAGAACTCTATCCAGATTATATAAATAACTCATATACATCTGTAAGAAAAACAACTCCATAGAAATGGACAAAAGACATAAACACACACTTCATGAAAGGGTAAAACTAAATGGTCAATAAACTCGCTAAACTCACTGCCGTCAAGTCGGATCCAACTCACAGAGACCTCTCCTTGGGTTTCTGAGGCAGTATCACTACAGAAGTAGATTCCCCAATCTTCCTTCTGAGGAGTGGCTGGTGGGTTTGAACCGCCAGCCTTCTGGTTAGCAGTCAAACAGAAGAAAAATACTCAAACTTACCAGTCATCAAGGAAATTAAAAAAAAAAAAAAGTTCAGTACAGTATCACTACATACCAACCAAAATGACTAAAATAAAAGACAACAGCAAGTGTTGATGTGGATATGGAGCAACTGGAACTTTCATACACTGCTAGTAGAAGTATACAACTCTGTACCAGAACTTTGGAAAGCTGGTACCTACTAATGCCAAACTGATGTATATGCCAATGACCTAGAAATTCCAACCCTAGATATACAAGAGAAATGAGTAAGTATGTTCGTAAAAAAAAATGTACCTACAAACGAGTGTTCACAGCATTTCTTTTAATTCCCCAAACCTGGAAACAATCCAAATACAGGCAGTCCCTGGGTTATGAATGTCCAACTTACGGACAACTCCTACTTGCCCTTTAATGTTGTGTAAATTTGCCCCCATTTTGAAATGACTGAACTAATTCCTAAACCAAAACCAAACCCACTGCCACTGAGTCGATTTCAACTCAGAAACCCTACAGGACAGAGTAGAACTGCCTCATGCGTTTCTAAAGCTATAAATCTTTATGGAACTAAACTACCACAGCTCTCTCCTGTGGAATGCTGGTGGGTTTGAATTGCTGACCTTTTGGTTAGCAGCTGAGCATTTTAACCACTGTGCAACCAGGGCTCCTGGAACCAATCCATACTTTCAACAAATTCTTCATCACAGTCACCTTCACTTGCTGCACACGCAGCTTTTAAATCACTGAAAAGTCTTCAAGCTTTTTCTTGCACTAAAAAATAAAACTCTTTGCTATCAATTCTGACTCACAGTGACCTCCATAGGGTTTCCAAGAGTGTAAATCTTCATGGAAGCAGACTGCCTTATCTTTCTTCCACAGAGCAGCTGGTGGGTTTGAATCACCAACCTTTTAGTTAGCTGCCAAATGCCTTAAACACTGAGCCACCAGAGCTCCTTTTCTTGCATTAAAGGCAGTCCAAATAAGAACTGGAGGCATTTGTTCACACACACCTACAAATTCCACTCAACGACTTACAAGGCACAGGAATGAATCTTGTCTTTTTTTTATTACTGTGATTCAAGTGTAAGTTTACAGAGCAAATTCATTTTCCATATAGAGGTTCATACACAGTTTGTTTCATAACATTGACTGCAATTACCCACAATGTAACAGCTCTCTTCCCACTTCCTCCCTTAGTTACCTCCTTCCTGTGTCCTTCTTTCCTATGCATTCCTGCCCCTTGAGCTACCTCCCTTGATAAATACTGCCCTTCTGTTCTCTCATAATTGATCATTCTAAGGAATTTATCTACCTGATGTAAATGTCCACCCTATATGCCTGTCTACTGATTGGCTGGAAGCCATAGGAGTGAATTCAATTCCAGACCTGAAGGGTAACTAGGGGCCATAGTCTCGGAGGGGATCTGTATCAGACCAGTAAACCTGGTCTTTTTTATGATTTGACTTTTGTTCCACATTGTTCTCTCACTCTATCCAGGATCTCCTGCACTGATCCCTTTCTGAGTGGTTGACAGTGGTAGCTGGGCACCATCTAGTTCTTCTGGTCTCATGGTCATATAGGCTGAGGTTTACTCAGTCCACTAATCCCTTGGACTAACTGTTTCCATGCATCTCTGGTTTTCTTCATTCTTCATTGCTCTGGACGAGGAGAGACCCACTGTTGCATCTAGATAACTGCTTGCAAGCTTTTAGGACCCCAGTCGCTACTCACCAGAGTAGGATGTGGAACAATGGTTTTGTGCAGTATGTTATGCCAATTGAGCTTGATGTCCCTGCAACCATGGTCCCGAGCCCACAGGTCCAACTGCTCGCACCCGCTGGATTGTTGGGTGTGGCTAAGAAGTTATTACTTTGCTCCCTGTTAGCTCTGTTATATATATGGACATTCCTACAGCATCACTCTCATTCTTAACCCAGGGTCTGCCTGTGCCCATTCAACCTTAGAATGGGTAGCTGTATTACAGTATATTCATATAATGAACTACTATACAGGGTTGAGAATGAACCATCTTCTGCTGTCTCAACAGCATGGATGAATCTCTCACATATGCTGCTGCTAAAAGAAGTCAGACACAATAGGACAAAGACTATATGATTCCGTTTTGATCAAATACAAAAACAAGCAAAATGAATCAGCAGTGCTAGAAATCAGGGGCGTGATTACCCTTCAGGAATGGGAGTGACTGGGAGAAGGCCCTTGTTCTACAGCCTATCACGTAAGTGCATTCACTGTGTGAAAATTCGTCACAATACATGTCATCACTTTTCTGTATTGATGTTAAATTTCAAAAAACAAACAAAATCCCAGGAAAGCTAATCTCTACCAAGTATGGGGACAGTCAGGCTAGCACTTGGGATTTACATGGGCATGTCTGAGAACACAGCCAGCCAGTGAAGTCGAAGAGTCTGCTCCCTCCCTGAGCAACCTGGAGCTCAAGTCCAGTTCAGTCTGCTCAACCGGAAAGACAATCCAAAACGCAGCCGAGAAAATAAATCTCTACCTTGTTTGCTTGACCCTGAGGGAGAAGACTTCACTGGCAGCAGACTGGCAAACACCTTACTCTTTAGTGAAGCAGCTGTGCTCTGAGTTCAGCAGATTAGCCAGGTGGACTCCCTGGAACTTTGTCCTTTTTCTTCCCTTCAGAGCCCAGTGGGGAACAGCCCTGGTATCTGGGAGGACTTCGGAGATCTGGGTCTCTTTCTTGCCAGAGTGGTGTGTGACAGTGGCTCCCCACTATTAAATCTCATCACACCAGCCATTTAACTCTGGAAACAATGATGAAAGGGCCTGATGTCCCGATTTGCCTGGGCACTCAGTCTAGTCTGGAATTAACCCCCAACTCTTCCTTCATCTGTACAGAGCCCCCGCCTGGCCCTCAAAGAGATCCTACATGTTCTAAGAATAATAATCACTTCTCTGCATTCCTGGGAAAAGGAGTGATTATGGTTCCTACCATTCCAGCTGAAGCTTTGCAGAGTATCTCTTAGGAGTTTGCATTCCCGGTTATACTTCCATGCCTCCTGCATGACTTCATTCAGCTTCTCATCTTCATTTTCTCCTATTGATAAAGAGGAAAAGGAAGTTCCACTTTTCCTACACCATCATGGAGTTTAAGTGTCATAACGGAAGGACACAATGTCCAGCTCCTTGAGAAGTGATGATTAAATGTGTAAATCTTCACCAGACACCAGCTCTACTGCTTGTCCATACATGACACGTCACTTCTGGGTTTTAGAACTTTTCTACTTTAACAGCTTCACACAAACCCTTTGATGGCTCCAGAGGCTCGGCATTGGGGGATTAGAACTAGGCAGTGTCAGACTCTATCACTGAGCAAATACACCTGATTAACCCAAGACCAAGGGAGAAGAGGACAAGCCGAGTGGGCTACATTCTTACTCCTAAACTCATTTCTTACCTTAACATCAGCTGGCTTATCAGACACATGTCCACAGCACAGAAAACACATGTCTAAGTACTGAAGACACATGTGCACAGCACAAAAGACACATGTCCACAGTGCAGAAGCCTACCTGCAGCATGACGTGAGTTTTCCTAAAACCCAAGGAATCGAGGAAGATAGGCCAAACCAACAGTTCTTGGGCCTCCTACCTGAACCCATCTCTTTAATTCCCTCAGTCTGATGAGCAAAGCCCATCACCACCCAGCTGAGTGGAGAGAGCAGACTGAAAGAAAGCTCTCACCCCGCAGGACCCATTAAGTCACTCTGCTCATGAGACAGGTAGCAGCAGGGGCCACTTCTGAACTAGACGGGCATTCTTTTTATAATTACAACTTAATGGCAGGCTTGAACCCTAAAGGCTCTGGAAATGATGTTTTAACAGGCTGCAACCTAATCTTGATCTTAGCTCACACTTTCCCATTCTCTATCCTCTATCTTTTACTCTTTTTGCCAAACTAAGAAAACAACCAGTTACATTAGCAATTAAACCTAAACTAGAAATTTGACAGAATGCCAAAGGGAGACAGAATTTCCCACATTTCTGAGTCCCACTGTCTTATCTTTTTAGTGAGCACATTCTAATTTACACAATGTATTTTGTTTTCTTATAACACAAAGATGAAACAGACAAAACCCGATCCAGCACTCATCTTGTCAGATGCACACACACACAGGCACACACACAGAGAACATTCCCAAATGGCGCGACCTTTACCAGCCTGGGGGAGAATACACTGAGCGATCACGTCTCGGAGCTTTTCCAAGGCAACATTTGAATCCTCAGCTCCATTCTCACGGTCATGGAGATAAACACCATCCTTGGGCTTGGTGCTTTAAAAGTAGGGAAAAGGTAATAACAAGATGAGACCCCAAAACCCAACTCTGGACAGATATTACTCTAAACATGAGGCAGCAGATTCACTCAGACACGTAATTAACTACAGACTGTCTCGAGCTTCCGAGGCCATTTAAAGAGCTTTCCTCTCCACCCTCTTTAGAGACAAAATGGGCAGTGCTCCCATCTGGGCTTTCAGAACCCACCACTCAGCCATGCCAGAGTGAAGAAGAGGTCAGAGACAGGAGCTTGTGTCAGTTACCCGAGTAACTTCCTCTTTCTCAGGATGGGGTTGTTCACAGAGTGCAGGGGTTTGAGGCTGACTTTCAGATCCTGGATTCTCATGTTGGCTAACTGCTCCGCGTGAGCCTGCTGGATGCCTGCGACCACCGCCTGAAGGCAAACACTGGCATCAGCTTTTTGCGGTCATTTTGCAGCACCTGAAAAGCCAATCTAAGGAAGTGGGAAGGAGAGGCTCAAAGAACTAAGAAGGCAATTTCACTGTCACGCTGCCCCTCTACCAGGCAGAGGACTCTTCCCCACGGACTGCAGGGCCCAGCGAACACTAGGGCAAGCGAGCATCACCCAATCATTAGCTCGCTTTCTCTGAAATATAATACTGAGGAGGCTCATGCTGACAGCCACTTCCTAGGACAAGTGTACATCAGGGACAGACGGTAGGCTGCTGCCTGAGGACCCTCATCGCCTGGCACTGACTGACTCATTGCCCCAGAGAGTTCCACCACAATGCAGACAGAGTCACCTCAGCCCTGACCATTTCACAGGGTGAGGATCATGGCCACCCCTCAGGGCCAGAAGCACCCTGGTGCTACCACACCTCTCTCACTGACCCGACCTCCCAGTGATGAAGCCAGACCGTTCTGCCCACCGACCCACTTTGGTCTGTAATTTTTTGCTCAGGTTATTTGCCACACTGGTTGTTTACTCAAATTCAGACTCACACTGGGCTATCTGCTCTGATTCTTGAAGGCCAGCTCAGGACTGAATGTAAGAGCTCAGAAGCTGCCACAGTAGACAGTAATAAATGTGAGGCCTTTCGGTTTTCCTTCCAGAAATCCTCCTTCATTACACCCCCCTTCAGTGTTCTCTTTTCTTTTTCTGAATTCCTGTAGCATTCACAGACAATTTAGCACCCCAGAATCTGATGTCTGAATTGTTCCTCTTGGCTTTGTGTTTACTGGTCTTGCCTTCTCAACCAGTCTTGTTTAAACCCCTTGAGGAAAGGGACAGTGTCTTATGCTGCTCTGTGCCCCTAACCCCACAACACAAACATGAAGGATATTCCTTTGAGCATTCGTTCCCTTCGTGTGTATTTACCAGGGCTTGATCTGGTCTTTTATGAAAAAAAGCTCTTTATTTCCAATCTGGTTTTCAGGGAATGAGAGGTTTCTGTGGGAAAGACTGTCAACTCCTTATTTGCCTTTAATCCCTCACCAAGTCGAACCTCAGCATTCCTTCTCAACACAGCCTTTTTCAGTCAACAAAATAAGCATCATTCAAAACCTTATCCATCATCACTTGAGCAGAGGGCAGCACATTATCCAGGGCCTCAGTTGAGTTGAGCCAGGGGTGGTCCAACACTCCTTCAATGGTGAGTCTCTCTTCTGGTTTGACCTTGAGGAGCCTGTGGAGAAAAGGCCAACAGGGCTGACGTGCCACAGTTGCTCCCAGAGACCAGAAGACGCTCCGAGGACTGGCTCTTACCAGCTCTGGCGTCTGACTTAGTCCTCCATAAACCAAAGGACTCTGAGTGTCAAACTCTACCCTCATCCACTCACTAGCCCTAATTCTTACTAACTCTCCCACTTTAATACAATGTCAGAGCAGTCAGCAAGCATTGGGAAAGTTGGAGGGTGGGTCCCAGGCCTTACACAATCACGTGTTCATAGCAGCTAAGGAATTAAAAGGCAAAAGGGTCATTATCATCTCAGCACCCCAGTTCAGTTCCAAGTATGGCATCAGTTTCCAATAACTGGCTTACACGTAAGAAATAGGAGCGTGTACCAGGAGGTTTACCATTTAGGGACCTGGGTTACTGCTCCCTGAGACAGAGGCTAGGGAGGCATCTGGGCTCGCGACCCTGGGCCCAGACTCCAGAGGTTCAGCAGGAGGCAGCAGAGCTCCACTTCCACTGGGGTCCGTCTGCCGTCATCTCTCAGCTCAGGTCCTAGGGATAAGGTCTCTGTGATGCTAAACGGGAGGGAGCCTACCTGGGACACCAGGGACTTTTCTCTACCAGATATTCCACCAACGTGAGGCCCCTCGCCCTCCCCACCCAGCAGCCTGCCTACTCACTTCCGTACAACGTCTTTGGCCATCTCTGAGATCTGGCTCCATTCTTCCTCTGGGAACTCAAAACTGCCTGTCATGATCTTTCTCCGCATATCCTTTGGGATCGTCCGGCTGTGGTGTTTGGAGTAAAAAGGAGGGTATCCACACAGCATCACATAGATAATCACCCCTAGGGACCACAAGTCACAGCTCTGAAAGCAAAAAGGAAATGGCCATTCCAAGTAGAACAAGAGCCCCACAATAACCCCCCAGGACAGGCCTAAACTATCCCTGGGATACAAAAGGTGGCTTCTCCAAGAATCACTTCACAGGCCCTGGTGGAGTCTCAGGAAGTCTTAAGAGACTTCACAGACCCTGGAGGAATCTCAGGAAGTCTTAAGAGAACTTTTCTCTCCAAGTTTTCTGTATATCACTGTTAGGGCTGATTTTCTCTCGTCACCTGGACTAGACCATGGTGCTCAGCTGTTCAGTCAAACACTAGTGTACATGCTTCCATGAAGCAGTTACATGTGACTAACTCAGCTGGCCTCATGTGCAGCAGTTCCTCCTGCATAAAATATGGGCAGACCTTATCCAATCAGGCAGAGGCCTTGAGCAAAAAGGGAGGTTTCCTCAGGGAGTATTCTGCCACCAGCTTGTAAATAGACATCTTACCAGAATGCCTGTCACTCTCTTACCGCATGACCTACTGATTCTGGGACACAAGAGTGACCAAATTTCTAGCTTCTTGCTGGACTTACAGATTTTGGACTTGCTAGCCTCCCACAATCACATAATTCCTGAAAAACCTCTCCCCCCATGTGTGCATGCTAGCGCACGCGCGCACACACACACACACCTACCTTACTGGTTCTGTTTCTCTAGAGAATGCTAAGACAACTACCAATACTACATACATACACAGCAATGTACAAGGCCCATCCCAGGTAAAATAAAGAGTCTCTTTGCTTCGTGCTTAGCCCAAAACTCCTATCTGATCTTGGAGTACAGATGTGAGACCCTCTGCCCCCACCAAGAAAGCACAGACAGAAGTCAGCTTTTGTGTGAAGCATGTACTCTGTCAACCTAGGCAGCACTGAGGGTGCAGAACAAAGCAGCCTGACACAAGTAAGCTGGCCCCATAACAGAGCACAAGCAACTTCTAAAAGGCCCCTTCTGCCAAAAACCCAAAGTTCAATATACATCAGGGAGAGGACTGAAGGGAGGACAAAATCAAACCAAACTCAACTGCCACTGAGTTGATTCCGACTCATACCAACCCTTTTTAGGACAGAGTAGAACTGCCTCTTAAGATTTCCAAGGCTGTAAATTTTTGTAGAAGCAGACTGCCTCATCTTCTCCCACAGAGTGGCTGGTGGATTCAACCTGCCAACCTTTTGGTTAGCAGGCAAATACTTTAACCACTATGCCACTAGAGCTCCTTGAAGGGAAGACTGTTGTTGTTGTTATGTGCCATCGAGTCAAACCCGACTCATAGCGACCCCTCCTTGGGTTTCCGAGGCAGTATCACTACGGAAGTAGGATTGCCCAACCTTCCTTCCGAGGAGTGGCTGGTGGGTTTGAACCGCCAGCCGTCTGGTTAGCAGGCAAGTGTCTTAGCCACTATGCTACCAGAGCTCCCAGAAGGGAAGACTAGGAAAGTATAAAAACATTCCTTTGGCCACAAAGGTAGCTCACTGTGTCCATCTGCAAGGCTTTATACTATTCTAGGGGAAGATACTCTGAAAGAAAGAAGACTGCCACCCACTCCCACATCTGCAAGGATTAAGTGACTGCATGGCCTGTGCTGACATGCTTACTAGTAAAGAAAGGACTCCTATTTTAGTTACATGCAGCTCGACCTGCCTCGGAGTCTGAGTTCTCAGAGGCTCTCTCGCAATGTAGGATCAAAGCTGCAAGCGCCTGAGAAGGGCAGGCCAGTGAACCTGCACTGTGGCCACACTCGCCATCATGTCACCATGCAAGCACTGCTGCGGAGACGCCTGGGCAGGGGGCTTCCGGCACTCTCCCCAGCCTTGTGGCACCAGAAAGTCAATGTCTGTGGATCCCATGACCCATGCTACAGAACATAATTAGGAAGTTGTAGAGGTGAAAGAGGATCTTAAAATTACCTAGTTCAAATCCCTCACACTATGGATGAGGAAACTGACAACTACAGAGGTCATTTCATCTCCAAGGTCATCTCTTAAGAATGAAACTAAAGGACTTAACCAAGGTCATGGTCACTGAATAGCAGTGGAGCCAGAAAGGCTATCCTGGTCTACTGCTTTTTGATCACCCTAAGCCCCCTCTCTATGAGCTGTATCTAGGCTCAAAGTCCCCACACATCATTATTTCTCTGACTCAGCAACTCCAGGCCCTAAACCCCTTGTGCTTTAGAACAGGCTCAGTGCTCAGGCTACAGCTAAAGGACACAGAACCAGGTTACAATCTGAGCTACTACTATGTGTACTGGACACTGTGGGAGGGTTTATGGGCAGCAGAGAACGTTTTCATAAACTGTAGTAGGTGTTCTCCAGTTTTTGTAGCCCAGAAATGGCCTCTACCTCAAAAAAGCAAGACAATTATGTCATTTGAATGTGGTCCCTAGACTAAATAGTTAGCCAAGTAAATAACTTCACAAGTGACTATGGCCCTCTGTTCTTGCTGCAAAAGCTCAACTGGTAAGAGCCTGGTTTCATATTTCATCGGACAAAACTGGAATTCCAAACACTTTTCTGTGTGTGTGTGGCTGCTTCCAGACTTCTGGACAGGATTGCAAAGGGGTAAGAATGAGACTGACACATTCTCAGATTGCAGAAGCATCTCCCAGGAGCAAAGGGGCTAAACCCAAGAGCTGCAGGCAATTCTCTTTTCTCACCTTGTTATATGTGTAGGGTGTTGGCGAGGTAGGTATGATGCCAGACTTCTCCTTCTGATGCCTTCTCTGTGCCTCCAGTACCTGTCGGAGTGGGCCAAAGGGGAGGCTTTACTGAGAAATCACACCACCGACCTGCAACTCGAGACAGACTGCTGGGAAGGCTGAAGGGGGACGGCACCTGGCAACTACCAACAGAGAGAAAAACCCCACCTAAACATGACATTTCCAAACCTTTTTTCCTTATTATAAACAGCAATTAATCAATCATTGTTTGCCCAGGGCAGGATTAGTCTGTACAAATGCAATAGCTCTTAGAAAAACATTAACATGGGAAACGATGCTCATCATCACTGTCATGAGGCAAATGCAATTAAAAACACAACAAAACTACCGGTTTCGCTGACATGGCTGAAATTAAAATAACTGACAAGTGTGATGGAAGACTGGAGCAATGGGAACTGCACAGTGGGACAGCAAAATAGAAGAGCCACTCTGAAAGAGTCTGACTGTTTCTTAGAAAACTAACTTAGACTTACCATATGGCCCACCAATCTCACTCCTAGGTAGGTACCCAGAGAAATGAAAGTACATTGTCTACACAAAAACTCACACATGAATGTTCACAGAAGTATTATTACTCCTAACAGCCCCAAAATAGAAAAAAACAATCAACAGGTCCGTCAATAAATGAATGAATAAACTGTGGAATACCCATAAAATGGACTACTACTCAGCAATAAAAAATTAATGATACACAATAAAACATGGATAAAGTTCAGATGCATGATACTATACTGTGTGAAGAAAGACTCAAAGGCTTCACCGTATATAGGCTGATACAGATTGGAAAAGAAAAGAGCTCTATGATTGCCAGGGGCTGGGTGTGGGAGGAGGAGTCCCTAGGTAGTGCAAACAGTTAAGTATTTGGCTGCTAACCAAAGGTTCAAGGTTCAAGGCCATCAAGAAGCACCTCTCAAGAAAGGTCTTGTGGTCTGCTTTCAAAAACCCAACTACTGGAGGCCTGTGGAGCACAGTTCTCCTCTGACACACATGTGGTTGCTGGGAGTCAGAACTGACTTGACGGCAACTCTTTCCTAGCGGGAGAGGGCTGCATACAAGGGGCTGAATGAGGGAACTCGAGGAGGTGACCAAACTGCTCTGTGTCTTGATTGTGATGCTGGTTAGAAACCCACTGCTCTAGACTCATCTAAACCCACCAGCAAGAGTCAGACTGCCTGCGCCCAATGGGCTGCACCTCTCCTCAGACACCAAACCATCCAGCACCCAATAAGGTCAACATCGCAGCAGCTGACATTCAGTCAAAGATTCCAGGCAGGAAAAGACAACCAATAATGGGGAGAATGATCATTCCATCAAAACAGAACTGAAGCAGATGTTAGTAGGCCATTCAAACCACCATTCTAATTCTATCCCATGTCCAAAACGTCTGTCAGTGGACTTGAGCTTCTGGGGAGACTCACACCACCAGCCTTTTGGTAAGCAGCTGAGCAGGGTAACCGTGTGTACCACCCAGGACTCCACATCACCACCAAATCACCACCAAGAGCCAGCTCCTGCTGACGGAGGGGCAGGGTTGTGAAGTGCCAGCTCTCACCTGTGAGCTACAGGCACATGCACACGGCCAAAGCTGAGGATACAGAGAACATTAAAAAAAACCCGTGTTACCCCAGTCTCCACCCAAGCACAGGGTAACACAAGGAATTCGAAGTCAGTGCGACACGGAAGCTAAGCAGAGCAACAACAATGAACTCAGCTCAACTCCTGGGCTATGCATCAATACTCCTTACCTTGCTCTCCATAGATCCCAGGTATTTACAAGGCTAGTAAGGGAATACCCTAAATAACTTTATGTCAGTAAGCAACTTAGACAAAATAGTCAAATTTTTTGAAAAACATTAAATTACTGTCTCAAATGGCTCAAGAAGAAATACAAAAATTGAATACATCTGTTATCAATTTTATAAAAACAATTACACAATTCAAAACCTTTTCACAACAAAAAATTCCAGGCTCACTTGATTTCTATCAAACATTTAAAAAAGAAAAAATACCAATCTTAACACAGACTGGTTCAGAAAATTAAGGAGGGGTAGTTCATAAAATAAGCTAATTTTATGAAGCCAACACTATAGGACAGAGTAGAAATGCCCCATGAAGTTTCCAAAGCTGTAAATCTTTAGAATTAGCCTGGTACTATAAAACCAGGCAAAGGCATTACAAGAAAAGAATACCATGGCCCAATATCCCTCCAGTTAAAATCCTTAACAAAACCCCAGCAAATCCAATCAAGCAAGAAGGTAGTTTCATCAGGACAAATGTGGTTCATCCCAAGAATGCAAGATTGTTGCATCCTTTGAAACTATTGCAACTTACCCTGTTATGAAAATAATTTTGTCAGCTCAACAGATCCAGAAGCAGCATCTGACAGAATTCAGCACATACTAATTTTTACTAAACTAAGAAAAGAATGGGACTTCCACAAGGCAATGAAGGGCAGCTACAAAAACCTAACAGTTAGTATCACACTTAATGGCAAACAAATGAACACCTCTGTAGGATCAGAACAGGGCAAGAATGCTGCTCTCATCACTTACATCCAGCTGGTGGCCAGGACAATAAGGCAAGACAAAGAAAAGAAAGAAAAGGCAAACAGATTGGAAAGAACATGAAAAATTATTGCTATTAACAAGTGACATGGCCTTGTACGCAGGAAATTCTAACAAATCTATACAAAAAAGCTACTAGAATTAGTAAGTGAAGTTAGCAAGACTGTAGGCTACAACATCAATATACAAGTCCCATGTGTTTCTATAAATAAGCAATAAACAAGTGGAAGATGAAATTTTAAAAACTATCACTTCCAGTAACATTGAAAACATGAAGTATCAAGATAAATTTTAGTATGTATAAGACCTGTACATTAATAACTATAAACAGACTCCTGGGAAGATGACAGTGTAAACAAACCATTGTTCTGACCTGCCCCCACAAATACAAGGCAACAGTGCTTGGCTTTAAAGGACTGTGAAAAGGGGAGTGAGTAAAAAGCAGTGGGGATCAAGGAAGACAATCGCTCTGCCCACTCTCCCTGACCCTCCCCCAGCCACAAGGGCCACTGGCTGCTGTGATCTGCGGTAGTGGCCCCAGAAAAAGGGCTTGTTTCCCTAACTACCAGGGCCCAAAACTGCAAACAACCCAAAATGTCCACCAGTCAGTGAACAGATACACAAATACCCACCAAACTCTATAGGACAGACTGGAAATGCCCCATAAAGTTTCTAAAGCTGCAAATCTTTACAGAAGCAAACTTTCTCCTCTAGAACAGCTAGTGGGTTCGAAACACCACACTTCTGGTTGGCAGCCGAATGCTTTAACCACTGTACCACCAGGACTCCTTGATGGAATACTACGTAGCAATAAAAGGGAATAAACTCCTGATACATGCAGCAATATGGACTAATAGCAAAAACATGCTGAGCAAAAGAAGTGAAACAAAAAGTACATGATTCCATTCTTAAGAAATTCTAGAACAGGACAAATTAAACAGTAACAACAGAAAGCAAACTGGTGCTTGCCTGACAGGAGTGACGGCTGTATTCTCTACCTTGATTACGGTGGTGATCATACAGGTGTCGACATTTGTCAAAACCCACCAGAATAGACATGCTTGTAGAAGTGTTCCACTGTATATAAAGTATGCCTCTAGAATCACACCTCAGTAAAGCTAACTTTAAAAGAATAAAATGCCTACCCCATAAAGCCATCTGCATTTCTGAAGCGGAGGTCTCCCACCTCCCATCTGTACCACACACCTACTTATGTGGTGAAAGAGAAGGCCCGTGACTCTACAGGCAGCCTGGTGACATATCCTAGGGCAGAAACAGCACATGCTTACCTGAGGTGCTACATAATATGGGGTGAACTGAGGTGTCATCAGGTCACCTTGGTCAATTTTGGCAAATCCAAAGTCACACAACTTCACTGGGGCATCCTGAAATTTAATAAATGGAAGTTAGCCCTCTGGAGTTCTCATCAAACATTAAAAGAAAATCTGGATGCAAGACATGTTACCTGAGCTGTCCTGAGTTTCTTGCTGAGGTCTGGACTATGAATAATTTGTGCCAAGTCTGGAGACAGTGATTCAGTGAGGGATTGTTCTTAGTGAAAGAGGAGCGGGGAATTTCTACCAACTCACATACACAGCCTTGGCTCCTACTGGCAAAGGCAGCACTAAAACGGAAGGCTTAGCCTACTGCCCCTCACTCTGTGGGCCCATCATCCCTTCAGTCCACTGTGCTGCTTTGCTCTGAACAACAGCCATAAGCTTCATGACAGCCAGAGCAACTTACTGAGTGGGACGTGGCACATGTGGCAGGAGGTGGGTCTGGAGGGAGAACACACCTCAGCAAATTACAGGACATGCAACAGGTGACATAAAATAGCAGCATATAGATTCCTGCCCCTTCCCAAAGCCCTTCAAATGATACCCAAACTCTTAAGTCTCACGGATCTCGCACAGATACCAGTGATATAAAATACCCCCAGTCCTTACAGAAGCAACAGAAGACAGACACAGAGTAATCCCTCACAGACAGCCAGACACTGTGGAAGAGAGATCCAACGGACCTACCACCTCAGCACCATAGTACTGAGGGACACCAGACTCAATTGGCACAACAAAATACATTAAAGTCTTGTTCCTCATCCTACATTGGCGAGTAGTGACTGGGGTCTTAAAAGCTTTCAAGCAACCATCTAAGATGCAGCTAATGGTCTCCTATCATTGGAAGCAAAGAAGAGTGCAAAAAAACAAGGGCATTTAAAAGCAATCAGCCCTAGGACATGATGGCCCTTGAGACCAAAAGAACTAGATGGTGCCCTACTACCAATGCCAACCACTCAGGAAAGGATCAAATCTGGAGATCCTGGGTGGGAAAATGTGGAATAAAATCCAAAAACTCAATAAGGACCAGAATTACTGGCCGGATGGAGTCTGGTGAGACCTCCAATACTATGGTCCTGGGATACATTCTGGGCCTGGAATAAACTCACTCTCTGGGGCTGGCTCTCAGCCCAATAGTAAACAAGATGTACATGCAGACCACTCAACCCAGAGTGACACACCCACATACTCTATGGAAATGCATCCCTCGGAGCAATCAACCACAGGGCACCACAGGGGCAACAATCACATGGAGGAAACGCAGGACACACAGGCATGCATAACTATGAGAGGCACGGAGGAAGGGTCACTGGGCAGGGAGGGGAGGAAACTGGTTAGGGTTGGGGATGGTAAATGGGGAGTGCAAGTAAATGTACACATAAAAATAAATAAATAAGTCCCACAAATGCTGATTGGTATCATGCAAAATTATCAATGCCAAGGGACCATTCCCTGGAGAAGGATATCATGCTTAGTCAAGTGGAGGGTCATCGAGAAAGAGGAAGGCCCTCAAAAAGATGGACTGACAAAGTGGCCGCAACGATGAGCTGAGGTATATAGCAAGGATTGTGAGACTGGCGAAGGACCGGGCAGTGTTTTGTTCTGTTGTACACGGGGTCGCTATGAGTTGGAGCCAAGTCAACAGCACCCAGCAGCCACAACAAGGGTGAAATAGTTTCTCTGAACAAGGGAATCCCCCAGCATGGGAAGTTGTAGAAGTAAGCAGCTTGAAGCTCTTTGGCCTGGAAGCATCTTCCCCACGGATCTGGAGCTCTCCAAGCTCAGAGCCCCGCTCCTGCCCTGTACTAAGAGGCAGCACTCCGCTGCCAGGAAGCCAGGCTTCTCACCAGAGAGTTATCCTTGAAGAGTAGATTTTCGGGCTTGAGATCTCGGTGTGCAATGTTCAATGAGTGACAGTGCTGCAGAGCCAGAGCTATCTGGAAAAGGACAGAGAGGAGCAGCCACCTCTTAAAAAAGACAACTGTTTTATACCCCAGTTTAGAGCGCTCAGGATGTAAACAAGCAATCCTTAAATAAGCCAATTAAGACTGGGGTCAGTTTTCAGTTTTAAAGCGGAAATGAAATAAAACTTGGAGTACCAAACCAAAGAAATGAATTAAGTACCTAATTTAACTGCAACCTGTACTTTGTTACAAAAAGGAAAACACAACAGTAGAAGAGAATCCTTTGTCGAGTTACATCCCACACAAAATGGAAGAAATGAAAGCTCCTGTTTGCATTCAGAGGTCTGACTGGCACGGCAAAGGAAACACTGAGCTGGGCCAGTCTCCTGCAGGTGCTGGCTCCCACAGCAGGACACGGGCACCGTTGCCCGGGGCCCAAGAGAAGCAGCACTCTCCGGGGAATTCAGCTTCAAGCAAACCTGAAAGCAGTGACTGGATTTTTTCCAACTGCGGTTCCAATCTGCTCATCCTGCTTGTTGCATGTTTGCGTGGATTTGAAGGGCTTTTGTGTTATAGACATTATCAGAGTTCATCCTTCACTCCTAATATTTTAAATATTCAAATTGTGATTTTAAAAATCAAATAGAAATAATAGATTCTACCTATGCTTCAACTCTCAGTATGGAATTTTCTTAGCATTCCATATGTCAGTTTCTTCCTACTAAAAACTGCTTGTCCTTCATGGAACATTTGGAAGCACTTTCTATTCAGAACCAATGGTACTATGCTTCCTTGTCCCCTGTGGCTGGCTGGCAGGGCCTGAAGCTTTGAGGTTTAGCTTCTCACCTCTTGAAGAGGTTACTTCCAGTTGGAATCCTAGTCTGTGACATAAATCATTTCCACAGCAACAAAATTTGATGGCAAAATAGGGAGACTATTACTGGGAAAACCCCAGAATCATAAAAATCTTAGGGGACTATTTAAATCTGAAGAGAGGAGAGAAGAACCTTCTTCACAGCAAAGGTCGTACACGCAGCTGTCTACGAGCACATGTTCACACCATTCAGCCTCTCAGGTGCTGTCACCAGCATTGCATCTCAAGTCCAGTAACAGTACATGGAGCCGAAAACAGAGACATCTAAACTCTACACAGCAGTGAGAGCACTTGCCTTCCAGAGTTTATTTATATCTCACAGTAAGCTTGAGGAAATCCTGGACGATCAGTTAACCCTTTCGTGACCCAAGGGACATATAGCGCCCACCTACATTTTCAGCCTCTCAAGTTTCTTAGAAAGCTGCTACCCCAGTTGTAATATGTGCTGTCGTATGGCAAGGACCTGCATAACTGCAGGACTCTGAAGACACAGGCTTCACCCCACCAATCCTACCACCAGAGTCCACTTGGGACATATGTATCCCACATAATTGTATCTAAATCCATATTACCTCAAAAATTTTTTATTTTTCCTGGATTTCAACATGCCTCCCATTACTGAAAATACATGGTATCAACAAAAAATTCAAAGCAGAAAATAATTTGGTCATGAAAGGGTTAAGAATACAATTTCCCCCTCAAAACATAAAAGGGGTCACATTTCTCCTGTCAAGACATCTTTTCTGATTACATAACAAAGCAGGCAATGAGAGATCAAATAGAGCTTTTCTGTAAGCTTTCTTTTATTCCCCCCAATGAAATTGTGCTTGTCAACCAACTTTGTTGGTCGCTTGATTGGTGCCCGGGGTTAACTTGCCTGCTTTGTTACTTGGCTGGCTTGCTTCTCTGTAAAGTGCCGGTGCTGGCTGATTCTGTGAAATAGCTCTCCCCCTTCCATCATCTCCATTACAATTAAGAGTCGAGCCCTGTTTGAAAGCATTTGATTTTGTTAAGTTAAAAAACCAAAAAATTGAAGAACTAAAACATCAAGTAACTGACCTAAAGGTAGTTCACCTATAAAGTGTAAGCACTTCCTAAGCCCAGTCCTATCAAGCCTCTATGGGATGTACCCCTGACACCAACAACTGCCACTATATGTTTAAGGAATAACCCAAGTAAAAATTTCCTAGGAAGCTAAAGTAATAGAATTAGCATTTAAGACAATAATCCCCTCAAAGATACAAAACTTGTTATTACTAGATGATAGTACAGAGAGAATATTTTAAGTGAATATTTTGTAAATGTATTTTAGGACAGCTAGATTAAAAGTGTACAGGCAGTCCTTGGGCTATGAATGAAATCTATTCCTAAGTCTGACTTTAAGGTGAATTTCTAGGTAAGTTGGAACAGGCACATATGGTTCTTTAGCGCCAGTCAATGTCTGTCTTAGTATATAGTGTGTATTTTACCATCTATGCACATAAAACATACTTGAGAAACACTTACATTGGCACTCCCAGTTTCATCTTGCCCTTTAGTGTTATGTGAATGTGCTCTCACTTTGGAACAAGTGAACCAACCCTACTCGAAACAAATTCTTCATCACAATCACCCAATCACCTTCACTTGCTGCACATGCAGCTTTTAAATGACTGAAAAGGCTTTGAAAAGGCTTCGAGCCTTTTCCTGTTCTAAAATAGGGTTAATAGACACATTACGTTGATTATGAGTCGGGTCCGACTGGATGGCACATAGCAACACAACAACAAACAAATTATTAACAGCCCTTCTATTTCAATCATCAAACCAGTGTTGCTCACTGTAGCTTTTATTAGGGCACAGACCCTTTCACACGCTCATTAGCCTCACTTCATCTTTTAAAACTTGTCAGACCGTTTACCTAACACTTCTCCGGTGATCACTGGTATTTCACCTTTCCAAATACTTATTATTTCTACTTTATTTTCAATCATGATAGTTTTCCTTTTCTTTGACGCATCACCAGCACTTGTATCAGATTTATACTTCAGAGACATGGTTACAAGAGTAAATAAGAGGAAACTTTAAGCCAAATAGTTACACACTGAACACTGTCTTAACAGCAACATGATCCCACTTAAAAAGGCAGACAGTATCCTCCTCCTTCAAGCCAATAAATTGATGAAGCCACACGATGTTTTCATGAGCATCACAAAGTAGTGCATGCTTTCATTACTCCAAACCACTGTATTTAACTCAAGTTTTTCATATGGTAGGCTTTATGTGTTTAAATAAATGGGTTTAAATACACATTGTCTGTGACTTGTCCATAAGTCGGACTTCTTAACCCAGGGACTTACTGTACTAGAAACAGAACACCACTTTGAGTAGCACATGAACTTTAAGTCATTCAGTTGGTGGTGGGGCTGCCCTGGTTACTCTCTCTTGGGGCTAGTTTTCTGTGTGACCCATAACATGTTCAGCATGATGGCTAGATGGGTTACATAGGTATGAAAGAAGAGCAAAGATTCTCAAAAAAAAGGAAAAAAAAAGAAGTCTGTGAACTATAGTTATGATTCTTTAGTACAGATGCTTCCAGGTTCCATCCAAATGCTTTCACCAACAGAGCACAGGTGTTAGAAACAATCAGTTGATTTTCCATTTGTATCTATTAATCCATCTTCTTTTCCACTTTGAAAACTCTGAACATCCCCTTCAAGTTCCACCCCCCACCCCCACTCTGCTATAGTTAACAGCCCCTTGTCTGCTCAGAGTCTTTTCTGCATGGCTCTCTGGTGCCCGTCACACTGCTCCAGTCACTTCCTGGTCTTGCTGCCCAGAAAAAAAATCATACCTTATTTAATTTTGAATTTCCTGGAACAGACTTGGAATGCCACTCAACAGCTTGCCCAAATTTGGTGAGTAAAAAATAATGTTGATTTATTCCTTTCAAAGGAAAAGGCAGACTAAGCAACAAGGGCTTTTCTGCCCTGTCAACCTCTTAGACATTGCCTAGGACAACACTGGGGCCTCTCTTTCTAACTTGAAATAGAATCCATTTAAATTCCAAATTAAATGCTTTTTAAAAAGAGAAAGTGATCAAAATAATCAGGGGATCCCAAGAGTGGGTAGGGGTATATAGATGACAAAATTGGCCTAAACTGGTAACTCACGAAGCTGGACAATGGGTACTTGAGGATTCACCAGACAATTCCACCTGCTTTTACATGTTTGAAATTTTCAAAAATACAAAGTAAAGAGAAAGCACGCGCACATGTGAGAATGGAAGACTGCACTCCACCTTGGCATATATACAGGAAGGTGGGCGTGTGACGACGACCCGTGTGGTCTTACCTGGGGCTGGACTCATGAGGAAACTGTACACTGTTAGCAAACACTTCCATAATCTGAACTATGTTTGGGTGTGTGGCACACATCATGTGTAGGCGAACCTTGGAGAGAGCAGAGGGGAGCTTCTTACATGGGACACACCAACATTTTCTCACCCAACTTTCCCCAGAAAGCTGACCACCATATAACCACCAAAGGTGCAGAGGGGTAAGCCTAGCCCCTGGAATTGTGCCATAAAACAGTATTTTCACACTTGGATTGTCTCTGAATACTCTTTCCGTGGATAAAAGCTCACCAACAGTTTACTTTCCACTATCTTATCAATTAGAAATGGAAAATTAGGCAAAGAACTCATTTAAAAAATTATTCATCTCTCTCTAAAACCCAAACTCACTGCCATCGAGTCAACCCTGACTCATAGCAACCCTATAGGACAGAATAGAACTGTCCCATTAGGTTTCCAAGGCTGTAAATCTTTATGGAAGCAGATTGCCTTATTTTCCTCCAGCGGAGTGGCTGGAGGGTTCAAACTGCTGACCTTTTGATTAGCAGCTGAGTTCTTTAACCACTGCACCACCACAAGGCCGTCATCTCTCTTAGCAGATGGCTAAATCCTTTGTAGCACGTTATTAATGTGTCACACCCAGACAATTTAAAACAAGTATGTATTTTAGAAAACTAGAAACCTCCTCAAAGACACCCTGCAGCGCCACTCTCAAGACCCCTCTTGTACCATTTTCATCTGCACCTTCCAGCACCTTTCTAACAAAGCAGGCGCTGAAGCAAGCCCACAGACTTTGGGCTGCAAGGACCACATTAGTCAGCAAAGAACAAGAGGTGGCTGAAAGGAAGTGAGTCTTTACTAGGTGCCAGCCTTCAGTGCCGGCAGACCTAGAGCTGCTTCTTAAGAAGGGAAGAGGGGTGAAGTACAGACATATGAAATTCTCTGCATTCTCTCCAGGAAGCACCTTCTTGTAAAAAGAACAACTCTTAGGCACTTCAAATACTCAGGCAAGTCAAGGAAATAAAGGACCATACCTCATTTCTTGCTTTTGGACGATCAAGAAGAATTTTCAGTGCAAACCGCTCTTGGGTAGATTTCTTCACACAGACTCTAGATTTGGAGAAAAATCCAGAGACCGTCTATGTTACAGTGAAAATGAACGTAACAGTTTATTCTTTGAGAGCTGGACTGTCTAATCAAGGGTCTAACCAGCTGCATCAGAAACTTCTCCAGGGCTAACTGGTAGAAAGGCAGAGAAGCTTCCTGCCCACCCTCCACAGCACAGTACTCAGGCCTCAGCTCTTGAGTGAGGGTCTTTCCCAAGGGAAAGTAACTCTCAGCAGGTCAGTAAAGAAACAATGGCCAAGGCTCCACAGACAGGTCAACATTCGAAAGGATTCCACAATACCTACTATAAACCCGGGAGCTCTGGTAGCGTAGTGCCTAAGGCACCTGACTGCTAACCAGAAGGCTGGCGGTTCAAACCCACCAGCCACTCCTCTGAAGGAAGGTTGGGCAATCCACTTCCATAGTGATACCGCCTCAGAAACCCAAGGAGGGGTCGCTATGAGTCGGGTCCAACTCAACGGCACATTAACAACAACAACAACACTATAAACCCATAAGACTTAGTCATTTAAATGTCCGAGAGAAAGCTTAACACAAATACCTGCACTTGTTAAATTAAAGCTAGGTCTCAAATTTGGCACAACTAACACTCAGATGTCTGTCCCTTCTCAGCACAATTTGCTGTCATTCTCATACAGATGTCTTACCTAACTGGACCACTAATTCCAGCTCCCAGCTTCTGAGTCCAATTGATACTGTATTCCTCTAAAATGGAGGTTTCCTATTAAAATAAAAAAGGGAGGGGGCAGAGAGTGATTCCCCAATTAAAAACCTGAATAATTAAGCAGAGCTGGGCCATCCAAAGGAGTTATGGTGGTGTAGTGCCTAAGATATTTGACTGCTAATCAGAAGGTTGGTGGTTCAAACCCACCAGCCACTGGGCAATCTACTTACGTAAAGATTTTTGCTATTGTTTTTATGTGCCATCAAGTTGGACCCGACTCATAGCAACCCCTCCTTGGGTTTCCGAGGCAGTATTACTACAGAAACAGATTGCCCAACCTTCCTTCCGAGGAGTGGCTGGTGGGTTTGAACCGCCAGCCTTCTGGTTAGCAGTCAAGTGCCTTAGGCACTACGTTACCAGAGCCTCAGAAACCCAACGGGGGTCACTATGAGTTGGAATGGACTCAATGGCTGTGGGTTTGGTTTTTGGTTTGGGCCAAGCAAAGAGCTTACTATCACCATCGCATCTTCTGAGAGAATCTAAAAAGCAGAGGTTTGTGTTCCTACAGGGCATTGTAAGAGGCAGTTTTTTCTGACTAGGTTAGGTTTTGTTTTCCAATAAGAGAGAAAGCAAAACATTCTATGATAAAAAGAAATTCTTCTGCTGATCTGTGAGCTTCACTGGAGTAGGCACTTTATGCTTTTTTTTTTTTTTTTTTTGAGGGAGCAAGATATTCCTTCAAAATGCTGCAATTACTAAATTCTTCTTTGGCAATGATGGTCCAGTATATTTTCTGAAATGCCAGAAAGACAGGTCTGATAGAGGCCACTATGTTACAGCAGCCCGTATCCTTGAAGAAGTTGATCGAATTGTTGGAATAAGTGTATAAACTAAGACTTAAAAGTGCAAATAATCATGGAACCGAGATGAGATACCGCCCACTGTCCCCATCTCAGGACAGAAGAGCTGGAAGCCAGAACAGCGGCAGGCCCCAGGCCCCGCTGAGTAACAGGCTCCTGGGCAACTGCGTCTGGAGGCTGCACACTGCCCTGTGAAGACCTTTAATAAAAGCTTTTAAAAAGGAGGGGAAAAAGTTCAAAAAAAGTAATACTAAAAGTCATAGTAAATTCACCTAATTTTCAACATCATTTTGAGTGTCAACCTATTTTGTCACATTCATTAAATAACTACATACTTTTAAAAATAGTTTTCTTTTAGTAGTTCGGGTAGAGCCTCTATGATGAACATCTTTATAGACTTCTTGCCTAGTCACTGCCTGCTGAGCTCCTGTTGCCATACAGTACCAGACCAGTCAGTCCTATTATTTCAATTGTGAGAGTCTAAAACTCATTTTTGCGGGGCTCCACAGGTAGAATATGAACTAACTGCAGACCAAAACTAGGGAGACTTTCAAACTGTGTTGTTGCAATGAAAATATGATAGGCTGCTTTGCGCACTACAGTCTTCATTGCTAGTACACGGGAACGGGGTATTAGTTTGTTCGAAACACTGAGCAGGTAGCATGTGCCAGACACCAAGCTAAGCTCTGAGCTGAAAATAGAGCTTCTGCCCAAGGGACTGTGCAAGTGTATAAAATAAGCTTCGAATAGCCTTCAGCTCCCTACCTTTCTGCCGCCAAGTTCTTCATAAAGGCTCTCAGCATAGAGCAGATGTTCAGGAGCTGTGCAGTGAATGACCAGAAAAGAGGACTAAAGCCAGATGATGGAGTGGGGTGAGATGGGAGGGACCAGCGAGATCACTGTAGAAACGCTCTTCTGAAAAACTATCTAGCAGGGTGAGGAGTTGGTCAAAGTCACACAGTGAGTTACAGACACCACAAGACTAGAATCTTACAGCTCTGGCCTCTCCCCAGCACCCACCAACCATCAAGGGCAACTACCGACTGCTGTCGCCAGTTGCTGTCACTTCCAACCCTTGCTGTGACCTTTCCATAGCAGAGCACCAAGCCTGTCTTCCAAGGTCCTCTGAGTGGGTTCAAACCACCGATCTTTTAGCTAGTAGACGAGCACTTAACTGTCTGCACCACCCAGGGACCTGGGCTACCTGCGTGGACCCTAGCATAAAGATTAGAGACAAGTCCTCCCCAACCAGGCTGTCTTCACTTACCACCTCAACAGAACTCAAACCTGCCCATTTAACCTCCCTCTGGCATTTCTGCTGCCTGGCCTGTTTGATTTAAGAGTGTCTGAGAGCAAATGGGAGTGGGAACAGGAGTTGGTGCTTAATCTAAACTGCATGATAGAATAAAATCATTTGCCAAGCCCCTCTTCTCCTCAATTCTAATGGAATCATGCTCATAGGAGACTCTATGGAAGACACATTTGTGCAAGTGAATTATCTGTAATAATCAGATGAAAGGACTGTTTATATGTTCAGCTCCTGAGACATAAAAATAACTGTGTCAGACCTAATTCTTCACTGTACCAGTGCTTACTGAGATACTTGACCCAAGTTCAACTTGTATAGGCTCAAGGACTGTAGTTTTGACACTTGACTTTGCTAAGGAGAGAGTGGCACTACCAGGCCCCTAGAGCCCTGATCTCTCAGTCCCCTTTTTCTTACAACTCTAATCCTTTCTTAGGTTCAGTTCTTGCACCTTTCCTAAGGGTGCCATAGACAATGGCCAGCTGGGCAAAAGAAGTATCACTCCCATACCTACTCATGAGAATGTGTGTAAATGGCATTTTCTCACATACTTTTTTCTTTAAATTGTACTTCTTTTGTTGTTGTGGAGAATATATACAGCAAAACTTACACCAATTCAACAGCTTCTACATGTTCAATTCAGTGACAATGACCACATTCTTTAAGTTGTGCAACCATTCTCACCCTCCTTTTCTGAGCTGTTCCTCATTACCATAAACTCACTGCCCCCTAAGGTTCCTATCTAATCTTTTGAGTTGCTGTTGTCAATCTGATCCCATAGAGATAGTTTTGAAAAGAGTGTAATGCTCAAAGCAGATCTTTTTGCTAGTTAAGCTAAGCTGGTCAGTTTTAAAAAAACTTCAGCAGATATTTTTGGTTTGAGGTTTAAAGATTATCTCAGGGCAATAGTTTCAGGGGGTTTATTCACCCTCTGAGGCTCCATAAAATCTAGAGACCATGAAAATCTGCAATTCTGTTCTGTATCTTCCCCCTTTTGATCAAAGATTCCTCTATGCAATCTTTGATCAAAATGTTCAGTAATGATAGCCAGGTTCCACACAGTTCTTCTGGTAAAAGAAGTAGTTGTTAATGGAAGCAGTTAGCCACAACTTCCATATACTCCACAAGGAGCTCTACTGGTGCTGTGGTTAAAGCATTTAGCTGTTAACCAAAAGGTTGGCAGTTTGAACACACCAGCCACTTCGCAGGAGAAAGATGAGGTAGTCTGCTTCCATAAAATTTTACAGCCTTGGAAACCTTTTACTCTGTCGTACAGGGTCGCTATGAGTGGGAATCAACTCAATGAAAGTGGGTTTTGGTTTGGATTCCATATGCTCCTCCTATTCCTGACTCTCCCTTCTTCCTCTGAATAGAGATCAATGATTGTGCCTTGGATGGCCACTTGCAAGTATTTAAGACCCCAGGCACTATCAAGAAGTAGGAGGTAGAACCAAAGCACTAAACATATTAGTCCAATAAAACCATGACCAAAGCACTAAACATATTAGGCCAATTAACTGAGATGTCCAATAAAACCATGATCCTAAACCTCCAAACCAAGTCACCAGATCCCATAAGGTGTTTGGCTGTACATAGCAGCCCCAGCAGCTACTCTTTCTTTTTGTTGTTGTTATCAATATGTCTATCACACAACGTCTGTCAATTACAGATGTACAACTTAATGACAGCAATTCTAATAATCAGCTGTGCGATGCTATCCTTAATCAATGCAATTTTCCCATCATCATTAACTAGTCCCACCCCTCCCTGGGTGAATTTTGGAAGTCCAGTTTCAGAGTGCCAGCTGCAGGGGAAGGCTTCCTCTCGGTGTTGGCTTTGGAGGAAGGTCCTTGTCTCTTTGAGCTTCTGCTCCTGGGACATCTTCATGTACCTTGGCATCTTTCTTCTCCCATCTCTGCTTGCCTCCTGGCTTGCTTTAATCTTTTATATCTCAAAAGAAATTGCTTTAAGACATGCCCTTCACAAATCCTGCCTTATTAACATTAAAGACAACCCATTCTCAAGTAAGTTTATAAAGACAGGCATAGAGGTTAGGATTTACAACATATTTTAGGGGAATGTGATTCACTCTGCAACAAACACTACCCAAGGCTCATTCAGTTGGTGACAACTCTAGTTTTACTAGCATCAGGCTGGCTATGAAAATCAGTAGCTGTGCTGCCCTGTGGATGTGCTTAATTTGGGGTGAGAAAGAAAACTCACAGCTCTGACAGAAAAGTTGAGAATACAGGTGGGAATAAATAGTTTTGCTAGCCCCAAGGTTGCAGTTTCTTGTTTAAACGTGCAGAACACCCAGAATTTAATGGGAAAATCCTAGAACTGAGGACTGTAGAAGGGGTGAGATAAGTTGCCCACACATTGCTGTCTGATTGGGAAACTACATACAGACAGGAGAGACCCAAGAGAGCCAGTGAAAAGTGAAAGCCAAAGGGGAAAGACTTGAGAGCTGGCTGCAATCCAAAGGCTTTCTCCTCACCACACAGACACTGATCAACAGAGGGTAAAAACTGCAGAAACTTCAAGTATTTGAGAACCCCTGCCTAAATCATGGTCGGCAAGTAAGATATGCAGACAAAGGGGCCACCCACCAGAAGCCAAGCTGAAAAAATGAAAACAATTTTAAACTGAGCAAAGGCTTCAGCACACTACAAGAAAAAGATTCCAGTTTAACTGAGTAATTTACTAACAACCAGCAAAGGGGAAAAATAAGAATCACAGTTGCTACAATACATTACTTGAAATGTTCAGTTTCTAACCAAAAATTACTAGGTATGCAAAGAAACATGAAAGTGTGACCTAAGCTCAAAAAAAAAAAAAAAAAGCAGCAGCAACTGATTCTGATTGGGTCCAGAAGCTTCACTTAGCAAAGACTTAAAAACAACTTCATAAATGTGTTCAAAGAAACAAAGGACATTATGATAATACTGAGTCAAAAAATAAAGACTTTAAATACAGAAACAAAAATCATTAAAGGGAACCACATGGAAATTCTAGACTTAAAAAGTTCAATAATCAACATGAGAAATTCACTAGCAGGGCTCAACAGCAGATTTCAGAGGCCAGAAGAAATCAGCAAACTTGAAGATAGAACAACAGAAATAATCCAATCTAAAGAATTGTTGCTGTTGTTGTTATGTGCCATCGAGTCGGACCCAACTCATAGTGACCCCTCCTTGGGTTTCCCAGGTGGTATCACTACCGAAATAGAAAAGAAAAAGTGAGACTTGTGGAACAATGTCAAAAATTCCAACGTATGTCTAATGGAAGACCCAGACAAAAGAGAAAGGGGGAGCTGAAAATTATTTGCAGAAATAATGGCCAAAAACTTACCAAACTTAATAGAACAGTCATTTATAGAATGAAAGAGATCAACAAACCCTAAACAAGATTTACACAAAAAGAATCACACCTAGACATATTACATTACTCAATAACAAACATAAAAAGAAAAATGACCCATCACACACAGGGAAGACTTCGCTTTAGAAATGATGGAGGCCAGAAGACTGTTGAATGACATAGTCAAAGTACAGAGAGAAAAAAAATTGTCTAACTAGAATTTTGCACCGACAAAACTATCCTTGAAAAATTAAAGTGAAATACATTATCAGATAAAGAAACACTGAAATAATCCATTGCCACTAGACTCATCCGATAAGAAATTACTAAAGGAAGTCTTCAGGGAGCAGAGCAATGTCACCAAAGAGTAACTTGGAGCCTCAGACAGTAATAACGAGAATCAGACGGAGTAAATATATAGGTTCATATAAAAGAATGTTTTCCCTTTAATATCATTAATTTACACAAGATTCTTTAAAGCAACAATTATAATACTGTACTGCTGGGTTTACAGAATACACAGGGGTAGTATACTTGACAATAAGCTCACAAAGGAGGAAGGAGGAAGGAGGAAATAAGTTATACTGGTACAATGAGGCTCTGGTTTTCCAGACTTAAGTCAGTATTAACCCAAAGCAGACTGTGTTAAATTAAATATGCATATTGTAATCCCCAGAAAAATGAGTTAAAAAGTCAAAAAACATGGCTAGAAAATCTGTTTTCACCAAGTTCAAATATTAAGAACTGTTACATATCATAGAAGACAAGTATGCAAAAGACAGTTATCAATCCCAAGGTACACACTCTCCAGATTGAGCTAAGTACTTTGGGAGTAGTGAAACTGGGGAGCTAATGGGAGCCGGGGTGCAGGTGGGAAGACAGCCTTCAGCGGTAGCCACTTAGCTTTGTTTTGGTTTTCATAGTAATAGGACAAGATCTTAAAGTCCAATCAGTCCACTCTCAGGTAACCAGGTAGCAGAACTGGTCAAGGGCTGTGGCTGGCACCCTGGAGAACAATGTTCCAGCTGAACTCTACAGGACTCAGGGCCCATCACTTGATGAATAACCTCAACAAAGCACAACAGTGAACCAGCAGAATGCCACAGACCACAGGTTTCATTTGAGGTGATGCTGCCTTGCTTCCAAAAGAGCAAGTTCCTAGGCAAGTACTGGTTGTCAGGTGCTATTTTCAACTCTATCAACTCATAGGACACTCCCAAATTAGTAGGAATATTCACCAATGACCTGCCAGTCAAGAAGTTTAAGTAAAAAAAAGCTAAAAAAAGAAGAAGAAGAAAATTATTAGGCAACAGTCACTAAATAAAGAATACTAACTTTCTAAGCCACCTGTAAGTTGCTGTGAACTTATAATGCTGAGCTGTACCAAGTGTTAGGTATTGTTTTAAACACACTATATTCCCTCATTTAATCCTCAAAAAAAAACCTATGAGCTGGGCACCACTTCTATCCCCTCCATAGATGTGGAAACTAAGGCACAGGGAAGTAACCTGACTCGAGGACAGACGGCCATTAGTGGGGAGGCTGGGATTTCTACCCGTATCTAACTAGATTCTGTCCTTGTAACCACTAAGTAACATTGCCCATTTGTCTACTTATTCACCAGAACTGTCCTTCTGTGCACAAACTTCCCATGGTTCCTCTAGCACTCTGGGTAAAAGCCAGACGTTTTTACAATGGTCTACAAGGCCATACACGCCCTTGCTTCCTGTTACCTCTTTAACATCATCCACTATCCGTTTTTGCTGACCCAGTGCATTCCAGCCACCTTACTATTCCTGGAACACACAGGCTTGCTGCTCCTTCTGGGCCTGTGTACTGGCAGTTTCAGTGCCTGTAACACTCTCCCCCAGATACCGAGGCACTGCGCCTCCACTCCTTCAGAGCTCTACGCAAATGCCATCTACGCAGAGGCCTCCCCGACTCCCCCCTAAAACAGCACCCCCCCTTTATACTCAACTATCACCGCCTGACACATGTTTATCACCTAACTCCCCGATCTAGACTAGAAGCTCCATGAGAGCAGGGACGTCTGGACTCTCCTTGTACCGCTAGTGCTTAAGATGGCACCTGGCACAAAGCAGACAGTAAATACAGTAAATGTTTAATTTAAAGCCTGCCACACACACTTTGATTCACAACTCAGTCATACAACTTCAGGCAGCAAATCATGACTCTGTACCAGTAAAATCCCAACCAAAAGAAACAATGGATACAACAAAGCATTCTTTTTGAACTTTTATTTCTATTATTCAAAACTTGATGCCCCTTAATGTGTAAGTTCTATCTGGTGCCTCCTTTAAAAAGGTGAAGGGAAACTGATGGTTGCTATGAACTTGAATCCAGTTTACCTCAAGTCAGCTCTGACTCCTGGTGACCTCAGGTGTGTCGGCCAGACCTCTGTAGGGTTTTTAGTGGCTCCTTTTCCAGGGGAGAATGCCAGACCTTTCGGAGGCAGCTCTGGTGGACGTGAACTGCCACCTTTCTGGTTAGCATCTGAGCACGGGAACTGTTTACACCACTGGGGACTCCTCTGAAACTTATCGCCCCCCCAAAATCACTACAGTTGCTGAGTTCTGAAATGGTTACTGGTTAACAGTGACTGTGTCTTCAGAAGAACAATAACCCTAAATTACCAAAGGATGTTTGTCCCTCAGCGAAAATTAAGTTCTTAAATGCACTGTGTTGACTCAACACTGTCAGGTTCAAGTAAAATAAGAAGATAAGCAACATCAACTTTAAGTGTCAGTGTTCAATTTACTCAAGACTGATTTCCTAGCTGTCAAGTCAAATGATAACTTTCTGACTCTGTGGGCAAAATTTGCTTTTTTTTTTTTTTTAAGTAGTAAACAGGTTTTAGAAAAGTTGTCATTTTATTTGGAGCATTTTATCACACGTTTATTTTTCTTTTAGTTAATAGAGCATTAAGTCACAGTACACTGTTAGCTCTTCCTGAATAAACTCAATACTCCCTAGGGGCAGACAGAAGAGAAGACAGCAGGAACACACAGCAAAGTGAGAACATGCCAAAAGGCAAGGCTTGGGAGAAGGTGAATCGCCTCTTTCTGAAACTGCAGATTCTGCTCACCAGAAGGCTGGCGGTTCAAACCCACCAGCCACTCCTCGGAAGGAAGGTTGGGCAATCCTACTTCCGTAGTGATACTGCCTCGGAAACCCAAGGAGGGGTCGCTATGAGTCGGGGCCGACTCGACGGCAAACAACAACAACAACAACAACAGTTTCAAACAAGTCAGGAGGGATGGGTAAAGCCAAACTCTACAAGTGCTTCTCAGCAGAAGCCCATCCGGAAGCAAATGCTAGCGGCACCGGGAACGATTCAGAATAGAGAGACCAAAATGTGCCAAGTGCCTCTTCAGTGGGCCCTCTCCACCCTACCCACATCAAGGTCTAGCTGCGTAGAAGTCACATCACCACTTTATTAACCATAGACTAGACCAGAAGGCTGGCGGTTCAAACCCACCAGCCACTCCTCGGAAGGAAGGTTGGGCAATCCTACTTCCGTAGTGACACTGCCTCGGAAACCCAAGGAGGGGTCGCTATGAGTCAGGGCTGACTCGACGGCACATAGCAACAACAGCAACAACAGACGGACTGGGACATCCCACCCTATACACACACACACACCTTCTTCCCTGGGCTGTGGTTGGGCATCCCACCCTACACACACCACACACACACATCCCACCCTACACACACAACACACACACACACACCTTCTTCCCTAGGTTGTAGTCGGACATCCCACCCTACACACACCACACACACAACTTCTTCCCTGGGCTGTAGTCGGACATCCTACCCTACGAACACACGCTACATACACACACACACGCTACACACACATGCACACACACCTTCTTTCATGGGCTGTAGTCAGACATCCCACCCTACACACACCACACACACACACACACACACACATTCTTCCCTGGGCTGTAGTCGGTCATCCCACCCTACACACACAACACACCACACACACACCACATAGCACACACACACCTTCTTCCCTGGGCTGTAATCGGACATTCCACCCTACACACACAACACACACACACACACACACTTCTTCTTCTTTGGGCTGTAAATCGCAATCTACATAATCCTGGAAAGGCCAAACCTGAAAGTTGGCTGTAATCTCTTAAACTAACTTCTCCCTGCCTTCTGAGACTGCAGGGATTGGAATGCCACAGGGAAAAGTGGAGAGGCGGGGGCACTTCTCTCTTACCTTGATGGCCTTCTCCATCTCGCTCTCCTCCGACATGCTCCGCGGACCCCCCACGGACGGGAGCCGCGGAGGCTGCGCAGCTGCCCGGTCCCACCGCAGCCGAGGGAGCAAGGGGCTCCGCGCTTGGGCTCCTGCGCTTTGGGAAGACGGGCAGCAGCCGCCCCCGGGGACCGGCGGGGACGAGGGCCCGGGCGCCGGCTCCGCCTCGGCGGGCGGCTCTAGGCTGGCGGTGGCAACAGTGGAGGAGGAGGAGGCAGCCCCTGGGGACAAGCCTTTGTGCTGGGGCCCGCGCGGCTGCCTCTCGGCCTCATCCCCGGCGGGGGAGGCAGGCTCCCGGGGCAAGGCGAGGCGGGGAAGGCCCCGGCCCGGGGCGCTATGCAGGGGCCTGGAGGGGCCGCCGCTTAGGCCTGGGCTCGCCAGGTCCTCAGGAGAGGCCTGCG